CTTCCTCAGGCTTCACGTATTTCTACAAAGGCAAAGAATACTGGAAATTCAACAACCAGATGCTCAAAGTAGAACCTGGATATCCCAGATCCATCCTAAAGGATTTTATGGGTTGTGATGGACCAGCAGACCGGGACAAAGACCGACACAGCCCTCAGGATGACGTAGACATTGTCATCAAACTGGACAACACAGCCAGCACTGTGAAAGCCATAGCCATTGTCATTCCCTGCATCCTGGCCCTGTGCCTCCTTGTCTTGGTTTACACTGTGTTCCAGTTCAAGAGGAAAGGAACACCCCGCCACATACTGTACTGCAAACGCTCTATGCAAGAGTGGGTGTGATGTAGGGGTATGTCTCTCTCTCTCTCTCTCCCTCTCTCTCTCCTAGGAGTTCGTGGTAACTTGAGATCAACCGAAGAGCTGTTATGCAGTTTCCTATCTAGGAGCAGGCATCTGTCCAGCCCCTCAACCAGGGCTGATCTTTAAAACCCAGGGGGCTGCCTGCACCCTGCACAGGAAGTAAGAGTTCACTCCAGTGGGAAGCTTCCATCGTACACAGTATCTGCCGTTCCTCCAGTTCTTTTGTCTTTCTTTGTCATTCGGTTCTAGCCTTTTTCCTCTCTGCACGCTCAGTACACCCAATGCAAAACTATCAGGATTTTTCCATAAAGAAGAGGAAATATTACAGCAAAAATATGGGAAAACAAGAAGCGTCTCCAGTGTCTCTGTTGGGGTTTTTTCTGTCCCCTTTGAAGCCTGCTCCCCTTTGAAAGAGTTTTGCGTGAGGTTTTTAAAAAAAACAATAATAAAAAATGTAATCAATTTTTTTTTAAAAAAAGAGAAAAGATAGAGCAACTATAACACAACAATCACAATGGAACTTTCAGGAAGTGTGAAGACCCAAAACAGCTTTGTCTCCAAAGAGGATTGCTTTCTGTCAGCTACGGATATAGTCCTATACTCCTACTCATAATTTTTGTTAAGTGGGAGACCAGGATGACACACAGGAATTCAGACTGTTTGGACAGCCATTTTCCAACAAATAAGGGGCCAAAATATCTGCAATATAGTAACAGCCTTAATGATACATTCATTTTGTGTTTTATACAGCTGTTCTGAGCTATGTCCTCAATGTTTTAACACATTTATATTCATTACTATATTCAGATAGTATCTTTTTTATTGATTGGTTTAGATTTTGTTGGTTTCCTGCCTCCTCCTCTTTTTTCTTTCTTTCTTCCCCCCCCCCCCCCGAGCTGTACCAGGCCAGCAGCCCCAGGCCTCCCACAGGTCTGTCAATAACACTTAATGTTGAAATCATAGCAGAATGCAGCAAGCCTGTGAAGTAGATTGCAGTGAACTAAAGTGACACTTAATGTTACAGAGAAACATAATGCTAGTATTAGGTTTGTGTAATCTGTGACCCTTTGAGAACTATAGGTTTTCAGAGTTTCAAGGGCTGTGAACATTGGTAGTCTGGAAATTATAGGAATGCACAGCTTAAAAAGACTCTGGGTTCTAAAACTTATTTCCTGTGATTTACGAGTTCCTTTGTAGGTGGTCCATAAACCATATCAGTTCTGCAAATCGTCTCCTTCCTTCCCTCTTAGCATCATTGGCTTCTGTGTCTGCCTCTCCTCCTTCTAGTGACTTTATGCACTCTAGTTTCCATATGACGCGATATAGTACCATAACAAAACATGGCAGCTGAGACCAGTATGCCAGAAGTCATCATGATTGGCAGGTCACATGGCAGGTTGGTAGGTCTCTAAGTAGATTAGATACCACACAATTAGAATAACCTAAAATAAGAGACCGTTTTAAAAAAATGATTTGCTCACTCTGTTGATGGTGATATAACAGAAGCAAACAATATTAGATGATTATTATTATTATTTTAAAACAATACATTGCAGCAGACAGAATACAAGTGGCTGCAAGTCTAGCTGGTCTTTGGTTTCTCAAGATGTGCTATGCCAATCCATTGCAGGAGTCCTCCCACATCTCTGTTGCTTCTTTTATCCAGTCTTCATTGCTCCATGCAATGGTAGCCACCAGTAACAAGGACCTGACATCCATTTATGCTATTGATAGTGTATATCCTAAATATTTTGTTTTCATTGCCACCACACACCAACAAACATGGCAATGTTTGCAATGTGTGACACCAATGTGTTGCCATGCAGATTCCCTTTCATTTTGCTACAGTGCTTTTACATGGGTATGGGCAGTGTAACAGCGAACCACAGTGGCTGAGACTGAAAAGCTGGAAGCGAGTAAGTCTCGAGACAGACAGCTGCGGTTTTTAGCAAGATGAAGGAAGTATGATAGAGGCAACGTTGGCTATGGGATGTATCTCTGTTCATTGTTTTTGCAGTCTCTGTAGTGCTGCAAAACCCATTGATTAGAAATGACAGCGGGGAAAAGAGAAATCACTTTTGACATCCCAAGAAACAATGCTCCTGTCATATCACCTTCAACTCTCATAAAAGCTTTTGTCTTTCTCCAGTATGAGAGCAACAGGAACATGGGATTGATGATGGAACCAGGTGGAACTCTCTTGTCTGACAACTAGCGTAGCGCTTGAGTTTGTGTTCTACTTAACTCTTGCGTTTTCAAACTGTATTGCAGGATTATTCTGTTTGCCTTGCATCATGTAGATATGCAGGTGCAGATAACAGTTCCAATGGAAACCAGAGAGCAAGGACTCTGGCGTTTCAAGGTGCTGCCTCTCCCATTGCAAAGTTTTGCCAATCAGGCGTTTGCCTTAGTTCCCAAAGGGTCACAAGTCCTCTGGCATTTAGCTGTGCATTAAATCACTGACAGAACCAAGGGAGCACCAAAGCATTGTGTCATCATGTGTAATATTTGTGCTAACAGCAGTATTGTCATTTTCATGTGACCTGCAGGGCAGGTTATGTATCAATATTTTTTCCTAGAGAAAAGTCAGCAACTGACAGACCTCTTTTTATTGATTTTAGGAACTGCTTCTTGCAGTGACAGGCTTTTTACAGTCACTAGGCTGTGAACTTATTAAAGGTGTTCAGAAAGGATGCACCCCACATGTCAGATACCTGGCTTTTTATGAAAGCTGGGATTCCAGGGGAGTAGCTTTTGAAACAATGAACAGCTTGCCTTGAACTTTATTGATCTGTTGATTGTCATTACTGAGTTAAACATAGTCTTCTGTGGAAAAGAAAAGAAAAAAAACACCTTTGCTGTCTGAATTTCCTTACAGTGTACTGTTTGATGTCTTTGCTCTTTGACCTTTAACTTGCAAACCGGCACAAACTCAGTGGGAAATCTGGTGTGGCTGATCTAATTTGGATTGGGACTAGGCTTTTACAACAAAAAGAGTCCTATCTATACATTGTCCAAACATTCACTTATTTTAGAGAAGGGAAATGGCTGTAATACATGGAGGAGCCCCCATCCCCAAGACTGGTGGAAACCAACAGGTAGCACCTGGCAGCGTTCTTGCTCAGCTCCCATGTATTTCACTGGGCAGTTGGTACAGGAAAATTTCCCTATGGAATGTGCCCAGTATTTGTAGCAGATAGTACCTAGATGGAACAGTTGCTATGTATACATGCACACTCTAAAAATGAACTGCAGTGGAAATGAGTTTCTGTTTAATTTTGGTTCAATTTTCTGTATAAAACCAGTCCTTTCTGCAAATGACTCATTATAGATGATGACATTCTAAAACACACTAAAATACTTGAAAATGGCCACCATTGGCTTTTACGTCAAAGTTTTTTATACTAGACTCAAGACCGTTTGTTAGTGATTTCCTAATCCACCTTACTGAATCATTTTTTAGAGAGTGTAAGTATATATACACATTATTTTTTGGTAACAAATAGCTTGACTGCCTTGAATTTATATTTATATTGAGCATAGCATGAAGATTAGTATGCCTTTTTATTCAATTGAACATGATTTGGGGTTTTGCTTTGTTTTGAATGGAGGGTCTGTTTTATAATCATGTGAGGCATCCTATACAGCATTGCAAGGTATTGTTTTTCTCCGAGCATATATAGAAGTGTGGCTGGATAACAAAAATAAGGAGAAATGGTTTGCTTTGTAGCACATATGCAATGCCAATAGCATTTTGGAGAGTCTTAGAGGTGCTGTTTGCAGTATCCTAAAGGCTGAGCCACTATGCAACCATTGCATTTCACCAGTATATCCATTTTAGTTGTTGGTACAGGAGTACCTTGGTTGACCACATCTGCAAACATAGAGCAATCTGTGAAGTCCTCTGCTCCACCTCACTTTCTAAACATACCTATTAGCTGGCAAAACTATGAAGTGGTTCCTATTTTGCCTCAGGCAGAAATCTAGAAATCATGGTCTGTTACAGGCAAAAAAAGAACCTGTCCTTTTGTCCTGGTGTTGACTCTGGGATAACTGAAGCTAAAATGAGCTTAATTCAGATGTTTTAGTTTTGCTGTTGTTTTACTGTAGGCGCTAGATTTTTATGTTACTGTAGCCCTGTCCAGTCATTCAAAGAATGTGTGAGGGCATAAAGTGTGTAGAAGGGCTGTGGGCCAACTTCACCCCCAATATCTTCATCTGCCTCATCCCTGCAGTCTAAAGGAGGGGGCAGGTTAGGTGCATTTGGCTGGACAAGATTAGAAGCCTTGCCATGATCAGGAGCCCTGCCTGCAATACCAGGTTCCTGATTCCAGGACACATCTGAGCACCTTTAGCTAAACACACTTAGAAGACCTTCTAGATCTTCCCTCTCATTCCTGGGAAGGCCAGGAATGGAGCCAGCAGGAACTTTGGGATAGGAACAGAGCACACAGCCGTGCACTCTCTACACACTTCCTGCTCACATTTGTTCTTTAAATACTCGGAAGGGCTTAGAAGAATCCAAAATATGGTGAGTGTTGGCATTCCCATGTAAACACTGGAGGTCCTAAACAATTGTTGTGACTGTCTTAAAAACTCAAGATTCCCTAGTGATTCCCTGTTGACAGCTGCCTGAATGTGATCAGCAGCTCTCACTTATATGTGTCTGAAAAGTGGAAGGACATTCACGAAATCGGTGCATGAATATCAATGTTCACTACATTTTGGATCTTCACTGTAGCCTATACGTTACATGAGTACGGTGCTTCAATTTATTTCTGTTCCCTCATTCACTTGAACATTTTGCTCTACTGTACTTTCAAAATCAATCTCATGGCAGGATAGAATTTCAGTACAGTGATTTCCTGGAAAGCAATGAAGAAGCTGAGCATGTTGCTGGTTGCTCTTTTTATAAGGTAATACAAATGTTTATATTTGGAGGATTTAACGTACAGTAATTATTATGCAGGAAGGTAAGTGTGATAATGTGCTGTGCTTGATATAAGGTACATCATGGTTATGTGAATGCTTAATAAGTTGATATATTTAAAAGTGCATTATATATTATATACAGAGAGAAGGTGAATTGAAAAAAAGTTTGGGCATGATTTTGCCATGCAGGTCAAAGTTGTATTAGCTTTTCTATTACAAATTTCTATTTTATGAAGCAATCATTTGATAGTTTCCCCCAGGATCTTGTACCCTATGTGTTCAAGCTGATTTTAGAAATTTGTGTGTCTTCACTTAAAAAGTTCAAAAATAAGAATGTGAATTTACCAGTTTAGACGTTGAATTCCAACAAGACTTTTTTTTTAAGTCACAATGCGGGGGGAAACTGATAATTGATTAGCATTTTGTCTGAAGTCCATCCAACCCTTTTAAAAGGCTGCTTTCTCGCTCATCTATTGGTGAGAACCTTAACATGATCTCTAATTTTAGCATGAAAAAACAGCATTGAATTTTGAATAAATGGGTCTGCCCAATTTTAGCATGAAAAAAACAGCATTGAATTTTGAATAAATGGCATCTGTTTTAAATAAAAACCAGAAAGAGTCCTGTGGCTCCTCAAAAGCAAACAAATTTGTTGTAGCAAGAGCATTCTGTAGGCAAGAGCCTACTTCATCAGATGCATGAAGTGGACAGTGAAAGCATGAGATTCATATCTATAATACATGGGATCAGTGGAGAGAAGCTGTTTTTAATAAGGCATCTGTAGTCACATTGTCACAGTCCACAATGTGGATCAGTGCAACGCAAAAATATAGATGTCATCAATCGATTGCAGTTTATCATTATGGTGTGTTGTGTAAATGGATAAATAGCACAATATTATTTGCCATAAACCAGGGGAAAAAATCTTTCTGGGTTAAACATTTATGGGGGAGGGGGAAATGAAATTTAAGTAAATACTTTTGTAGGTAATTACTTGGTATGCTGAATTGGAAGGAATATGATCTTGCTCCAAAGGAGCCCTTTCTAAGTCTCCCTGACTTAAACATAATATGCATTTTGTAACTTCTTGGTGATGTTTTTGAGGCAGGAGATGGTTTTAAGAAGCATAAAAATGCAGCTAAACATAGAACAAAAGTGTATGAAAACACTAAACAATGCAATTAAGTTTAGTAATGAGATTCTCTTGTCTAACTTGGTTACTGAGATGATTAGCAGACCACTCACAATGGTGTTGTCTCACTCACCTACATGTGATCTGTGAACCTATGTAATATATATTTCTCCTCTTATCTATTCAATCCATGAACATTATTGTGCAGCCCATTTCCATACTTCTTTATTGTACATGCTTATTTAGAAATCTCATTTATTCAATGCAGCTTACTCCCAAGTAAATGTACAGAGGAGTAAGACCTTAGTAACATCAAGCCCAATGTTAGGCAAAAGATTCCTGCATTGCAGGGTATTGGACTAAATGATTCTCATGGTCCCGCTACAATTCTGTTATTCAGTATCTGATTTGGGGAAGCATATCCCTGCAACTATTCCACTGGCGACCATTTTAGTGTCCTGCATTTGGACGCTGGCCCTGCTAGTTCATGTTGAGCTGTGTGCTCATTTTATAATGAATACCTCTGCTTGTTTCCTGGTGCCACCATGCTGATCTTAATAAAATGCCAGCTTCAATATCTAACAAAGCACAGGATCCTATTCTGGCTTGTTGGTAAGAACTCAGAAAATGGAAACCCTCGAGTGAGGTCTAAGTACTCATCATCTTGCAGATAGATGCTTGAACTGCATATATTGGAGGAAGAAAACGAGGTTGCCTGTTTATTTGAAAGGTTTGCTTGTAGCCTCCAATGTTTAACAGGTGCCTGTGGCTTTAGAAGATAACACAGCTGGCCAAACAATGCAGATTCTATAATCTGCTGCCCTCTTGTAAAACCAGTTGGTATACAGGTCAGCCAAACAGTAAGTGCAGCCAGAATAACAAGATGGGACCGATTGCCACCCAGCATTGTCTGATATAGCAAGTCAAATCTCTCTTACAAGACATGCCACTCCTGTTTGCCTTAGTTGTTTGTTTGTTTGTTTGTTTGTTTAGTTCTGGGGAAATAAAGACATTGGGTGGTGTATTCAACAAGAAGGGGGAGACATCTACTTTTTCTTTTCTTTTCAACCCTTAGGCCTTATGTTTCTTACATGTCATATTGCACAGATGAAGGACTAGTGGACCCATGGCCAGCAGCATGTCGTATAAATAAAGTGCCGATTAGTTAGGTATTAACACGGAGGCCGAAAATGAGAGCAAAACGGATAAGGTTCATGTTCCCTTTTACACAAGCTTAAGGCAGGGACTTTAGAAGTGTGTGCAGTATTCCTACCCCTAAAACAGTTGTTGAAAGTGCCTCAATTAAGAACAACACAGTGCAGGCCTAAAAAATAATCTCTGTTGTCAAGGAGAAGCCTGCATCCATGCCACTTTCTCCAACCTGGTGCCCTCCAAATGTTTTGGATTATATTTTCCATCAGCCCAAGCAAGCACAACCATGCAGGCTAGGAATGATGGGGGTTGCAGTTCAAAACATCTCAAGGGCACCAGTTTGGCAAGGGCTTCATTAATACATAATCTTTGGACTGTGCCAGTATGCATATAAGCTATTGCTACAAAATGATCATGTGCAAGCCAGGAAGCCAGGGCGACGGCAGTGTCGTTATCATTTGAAATAACCTCATACGTGACTTTATTGTGGCAATTCCACCAACTACTGAACATACAAAAGAAATGGACCCGCTTCTCAGTAAGGCTCGTTGATTGTCATGGCAACCAATGACATATATGCCACTAGGTTTTGAGTAACTGTATTCACGTGCCCCGTTTGGAAAGCCTGTGGTCATGCTATTTTATTGCTGACATGGCCATGATTTCATTAATGAACCACATAACATACACACACCCCAACCTAATGTGTAAAGGGTGCCTGAAATAAATGGTGGAAGAGGGCCTGTCCCCATAATGAAATTATGGTTAGGAGGTTTGCAAAGCGGATTCACATCTGTTTTAAGAGCTGCTGAGGAGGCTCTTCTCAAAGCTGTGTTCTTCAACCTTGGTTCCCCAGATGTTGTTCAGCTGAAACCCTTATAGCTAATGGTCAGGGGTGGTGGGAGCTCCAGTCCAACATTTGGAGATCCAGGGTTGAAGAAAACTGTCTTAAAGTACCTTCTACATGTGTCTTGTCAATGTGGAGCAGATGCTTGTCTGTTACGACATCTCACAGAAGTATAGTTGGTGCTGGTTCTGTTATCCTCTTGGCACCTGGTCAAAACTTACATGTTGGGCCTGGCGTTTTAGCTGTTTAGTCCTATTGTGTTTTACTTCCTCTTACAAAGCTGTTTAGATTGTGTTTTATGCTTTTATCTTTGGCAGTATGACAATTATTGGTCATATTTTATTCACTGCCCTGATACCCGATTGTGGTTTTTTGGGAGGAGGGAGAGGTAAAGATCTTTTAGTAAATAAACAAATGTGCCATTGTTATAGTGCCAGACCAAGTAATTATCCCGCTTGAAGCTGATCACCAAATGGCAACCTATTCACTAACCCTTCTAGGGCCAACACTTTAAAAATTCTGTACCATTTTGAACATCAATTCCTGTCCTCATCTATCCTCTAAGTCCTGCTGTTTGAAACAGCCTGTACCACCATGCTGTATGGCAGGGCCAGTCCTGTGTTGTTGACAAGGCATGGCAAGAAGATAAAGCGGCTTTCACAGGAATCCTGGCACTTTAATCTTCATAGAAAAGTGCCGCTGCTGTCCACCAATAGCACCTCAAGCGCTTTCTCTAAAAAGCTAAATAGGACTGAGAAGTCAGCTTTGGCAGAAAAGTGTCCGAAGCTTTCGAAGGTGTTATAGTCTCATGAAAGTTATCAAATAAAAATAAACATTTCCATGCTAAAATATTTATGTGGTTAAGGATATGGAAAACATCACACTCAATTATTTTTTTTGTAAGCTGCTTTGAAGTAGTTAAAAAACCAAAAACCATCAGCAGTATATAATTTTTAATGAAATAAATAAATAAATTCCCGAGATGTGGATGTGCTCTTCATTATACTTGTTTTCTATGTGAAACAGCGAGCTTCCAGCAGGGCAAAATGAACAATGTCAATCCAAGCGTATTGTATAGGCTTTGGAAAGTCGTCCAGTGGACCAATCTATAAACCAGCTAAAATATACTGGGATATGATAATTAAGTCAACAGGGCTGAATCAACTGCAAACAAAGGCCTCCGTTCCTTCATAAAATGGGCATTTTGCTTTTCTTCGAGCAATGTTTTTGGCCACCTAATAAAGATATTCAACTCGCCCCAAATAAAATTCTTCTTTGTGTGTGTATCTGCTTTGTCAGCTGCTGCTGCGCAGATTTGGTATACTCTCACTATTTGACTGGCATCTTTGTGCTTTCCGTTTAGATTGGATTAACACATGCATTATATCCTTTAACATCGAGCCCCGCCCCCCCAACATGGTGAGACATGTCTTTGACTTTTAATTTCATTCAGCCATTGACTTGCACCCCAACAAGAGAAAAATAAATAGCACCACCAGAAACCATTCCCTTCAATTAGAGTGTTTAAAGACAGCAGCTTGGTGATTTTCCCCTGCCTCCAAAGTGATGTAAAAGGCAGTCAAATTGGCTTGGTGTTATTTTATGTGGGCCAGTGCTGGGATGACAGCATTGCATAGGCTTGGGTTACAACAAAATTAGCATTCATTTGCACAGGTGCCTTTCAGTTTTATTATTAAAAATGCTTGTTGTTGAGCCTTTCCTTTCGCTGTCCAAATGTTTGCTGCTTTGTAGAATTCCCTGTGGACAGTGTTTGTGTGCCTCCATCACACAGCTCTGATCACCCATCGTAATCACTTCGGCCTAATAAGAAGTGAGTCTGGGATGCCCCTGTTTCTTTCCCCGCAGATAAGAGTCCTGAGATGGTGAGATAATCTCTCTGTGCCCTCTGTTAGTTTATCCTTATAGCTGCCAGCCTCTGCAGCTAAATAATTCCTCTCCAGTGCCCGTACTGTTTATTTGAACCCTGGAAGTTTCGTAGATTTGCAGGAAGAGCTGCAGATCTTTAGATATTGGCAGTTTATTTTGTGGAATATGTGTACAGGAGCTATTTACAGGTGACCTATTTATTTCTTGTCATGGCTGAAGCATGATGGTAGCTTTTTTGTCATTTACATGACACGGCAGTTCAAGATTTCAGGGGATATGGGCATATTTTAGTATATGATTCAGAAAAGTGTTGTTGTTACCCATTCTCCTAAATTAAATGCTGGTTTACTGCCAGTCTGTTTGCTTACAATAAAAATTTAGTTGTTTCCACAGCATTATTCATATTTATTCAATGTCACTTGCCTTTTGCTGGAAATGATCTAGGAAACGATTTATATTCTGACCCTTGGCTGCCTTCCTGTATTTCAGCATCCACTGTTCCCAGTGCATGATGAGAAACCAATTTTTCTCCCACATCTGACCCTTTATATTTCTGCAACTGGTCTTTGGACAGATGTATGCTTGATTGCCTCCACCTCTATAGACCTAATCAAAACGTACAAGCAAATGTGTGCACCAAAAGACCGATGGCAATTTAAATGAGGTAAAATTCACATTGAGAGGGAGCAACAACAACAACAAAAAGAGAAGGGATAATCCTTTTCATACTGTTTCTCCATTCTATACTATGCTCCTAAATTGCTTTTCTCTGCAGAGTTCCAAATGTGTGTTTGACTTCCCAAATTGGGAGTCTATAGGGAGATACGAATCAGCAGGCAGGGGATTCCCAGTTGGTTTTGTGCTCCAGATAACCTCCAAAGTGGACTTTCTCTCCTATTAAAATAAATAGCCCCCAAGATTTTGTTACACATGTTGTCAGAAAATATTTAGTCAGGGTATTAGGCACAAGATGCTATCAAGAGACTTGAAGACCAATGAGAATTTTCTTTGTAACTCCAGTAAGATGTGGATTACATGCCCTGTGGAATTTAGCACATAGGGTTGTACATGCTATGGTTAAAATGTGTTAGCACCGGGGAGCAGAAGTGTGTTCTGATATGTTCTGCTTATTATAAAATCAACGTATTAACTCCCCCCTTTTTTTGTTAAAAATCCTTTTCTTGACTCTGCACATACAAGGTCTACTCTTAAATTAAACCACATCTGGTTTTGAGTTACATGCCTTTAACCAGATAACATCTGAAAATGTCTTTTAGGTAGTCCTAAAAACAAGCCAGAATGGAAACTGCCTATCATGCCTAAATACTATATCAGAAACAACTCCTTTATACAGGCAGTTGTTGCTATGGTGGTCACACTGTATGAGATCCATCAAAACAGCAAGCTCTGTATACCTGTGTTAAGGTATTCGGTCTTACTTTCCCCCGCTTTTGCACATACATATTCTGTGCCAGAGTTTGGTTCACAGTGCTGCATGTAAGCAAAGAGACAGTGACAGCATTTTCCTATTTTCAGAGAGCTGATTTCTTTTACATTACTTTAATTTTATGTTACTGTACGACTCCCACAACATTCTTTGCATTAATAATATTTTTTAATAAATACCTTTTTTTTTCTTTCAAGTAGTTTCTATGGACAAACACAAAGCTTGTTTGTGTGCAAAACGAAGGCTGACTAAATGGTGCTAAAGTGTATATTGACTGTCAGATATAATCAGGCAAAAATTTGTGGTGCTTAGACAGATTTTTTTTCATTGTTTCTTTATTGATCAATGCATTTAACAGTGTTTTATTATACACACATTCTTTTATTAGTAAATGAAGGCCTCATAGTGCACTATTAAATAAAACAAAAATGGGTTAACTAATCTATGTACCAGCTCACCAAGCTATTATCGTTTAACTCCTTATAATATTGCATAATTAAAGGTCAAGGGGTCATGATATTAATCTCATTGCTGTTCACTCATTACATGACTGAACATTTTTGAACAAAATACTTATGTTTACAATAGTATAATAACCCTTTGACTGCTGCGGCAACCTTTAACCACGAAATTAAAACGTCACATGCTAGAATTGTCTTTTTGGTTCTTGTCCTGGCAATCAAAGAGTTAAGGGCTGTGCAGTGATTTGTTTTCTATTTATTAATTTCTATTTATTTTTTTGTTTTCATTTGAGGAGGGGGGTCCGGGGTGGGGCAGTTCTCGTCTGCTGTAAGTGTCTTAACCAAGGGAAGGGTTAAAAATTGCTTTTTTTATACTATCTTATGTACTTACCATCATTTCATTGTGTTGTAATTAAAAAAAAAAACCTGTCAATAAATAAGAAAGCAGAAGCAGCGTTTCTTAAATCTGTCGTGGTTTCATTTAGATTGTTGTCCAATTTGAACAGTGGGAAGCAAGCACCTTCTGCCATTTATCTGCTTCATACTTGGCGGAGGGGATACATATGGGTTGTATGGAGGAATCTGCACACTGGAGGTCATGGCTCTGCTGATGAGAGGGATGAAACCTATCAAACGCTATGTGTCTCAAAATTGTTCTTCAGCCAACCTGGTGCCCTTCAGATGTTTTGGACTACAACTCCCACAAATGACCGCTCCCCACATTAAATGCACCCTTTGTGTGGTCGCGCGCAGCCCCCTGGACCCTATGTGGCACCATTAGCACAGGCTTGGCTTCGCCTTCCCCAGGTGGGATACCTGGAGGTCTCTGCCTACCTCAGCCAGTTGTCCAATCCCGTTTGGGGAGGCGTTGCCAAGGTGATCAGGCCAGGTAGGGGGAGGGACCACCCTCCCCACACAATAGGGGGAGGATCTTACCTGGGAATCGTCAGTTGGCTCCAGAGCTTTACCCACCTTCAGTTAAGACTTTTTTTGCAGGTTAACCTTTTCTCCACAGGTACGCAGGCGCTACTACGTCAAGGTCGCTGTTGAAGGGCCGGAAAGGCATTCTCCTGCATTGGCAGGTTTGCCTTTCCTGTAGCAAAACGTCACAACTTTGGCGGTATTAGGCCTTGGGCGGAATCCTTTAGTCTATCTTCCCTAAATGGGGGTGGGCATGTAGCGGTGACCCACATCCCCCTTCTCTTTGCAGCAGCGATACCAGAGTTCCCCGTTAAAGGGGTTGTTTGAGGGGAGGCTTTGGCCGTACACCTAGAGGTCATCATTGCTCTCCCCTGCAACGGCGGCGTAATGGGGGCAGGCTCTCTCTGCTTGAACATATGTTCTCCAGAGCCAGTCCATCCTCCTCACACACTGGATAACCCTGATGTTCCCCAGATCCATGGCGGGGGACTGGGAGGGATAAACGCCCAATGCCTGAGCCAAGGTCTACCCGCATCTCAAACATAATAAAGTTGAGGCCAATTTTAATCCCATAGCATGTTGTCTTGAGTCGTTATTCCACATGGGGGGGGGCACCCAGGGTTTGGGGGACTCTGCCTGTCCACGCAAACAGCCGGTTGGGCCTGAAAGGAGTTAAAGTTCTAAACCAAGTTGTTGAAGGCTGTTCCACAGCATGGGACAGTAAATGCATTGCACTCAACACAGGTATATGGGAAGACTACCCCCCCCCCCGTTGTCTCGCTATAAGCTAAAGCTGTCATGAAAATGTTAAGGGCCACCAGCAGAGCCTGTAAAAAAACATCTTCCTACATGCTGTTGGCTGCTTAGATTAGGAGGTTTAGTTAGACAAACACATGGAATGCACAGCTTCTTTCCCCCCATGGCTCAGGGGAATAATTGAGCTGGACCAATGGAGTCCCTGGAGCCTTGAAAATTGCCAGCTGTGAGTGCTAGCCTTTCTGTGTTAGAGCTGAGATTTGTGTTGAGGACAACAAACAGAAGGGTTTAAACTAATTTATTGTAACACAAGCAACATTACTAGTTCATTTAGAGCTCTCGAGGCAGAAATGAGGTTTTTCTCATAGAGTTATTTAAATAAAAAAACCTAATTGTAATTGATGAGGGAGTCTCGAATTGAACTCAGTTGAGTTTGCTTTTCAGGTAGTTGGAGGACTGAACTACATAGATGGCTTTCTGACTTTTCAAATGCTATTAGTGGAAGGCTAGAGATGTGCTAAAATTTCAGTAAAACACAAAGAGAGAGAAATCACTTCTGCCACTCCAGCTCCACTTCCCGAATGGTGCCCCCATGCGTATAAACTGGAAGTCAGAAGAAAATAACTACCTGAAGGATCAAATTATGAATAGCATATTTGCATGACTTCATGGTTGCTCTTTGTTTATCTTTATAGAACACTTCCACTTCTAGAATTCACATAAGAGTTACAGGACAATTTTTACAGGAAGTGTAAAAGCAGATAAACTGAATGAAGGAAACGTATGACATGACTAGTGCCCAAATGTGTGGTCAGTGGTTAGCTTCTCTGTGAATGTAAATCGGTGTCGACCTCTGGCCTGTGAATCTATTTGTGATAGTGCATGTCTGCCCTTTTACTCAACTTTGAGTAAAACACAAACTATGCACTCTTCAACTCTTTACATGATATTTGGAATTTGGGACACTGGCCTCAAGCTACTACTGACACAATTGGCCTAAGGGTCTCTTGAACTGCTAGACAGACAGGCAACTTTCCCAAAATAGCCTCCTTGAGAAAGGGTATTAGAAAGGCTCCCTGTGTGTGTGTGTGTGTGTGTGTGTGTGTGTGTAAAATGTGTTTTATTTGACATAGAGGTTTCAGTTTATTTTTTGCTTTCCTCAATATTTTCCTAATTTTAGGTGCTAGAGCAGGAAAAACATCCCACATCTCATCAATCCCTACACTTAGAGCAGGATAACTTGGAAACAAATCATTCGAATAATTATGGACAAGTGTTGAAGACCCTTTTATAGCTTAGACATAACCTCTTGAAGGCACATCATGGATAATTTAATACACTCTTACCATGCAAATGCAAATACTGTAGCCATTGCTCATAGGGGAGTTGTTCCAGCGACTTGATAATTTGGGTTGTCCTTTTCTGAAACTTTTCTACAACAATCTTTTTGATGCAAGAAAACCAGAACTGCACACAGTATTCCGACTTTGAATGCACTGTAGACTTTATAATGGCCTTACAATATCGGCAATTTTATTTTCAATCCCTTTCCTAATGATCCCTTACATGTGATGTAACCTTTTCACAGCTGTCACACACTTCATTGGCATCTTCATCAAGCTATTCACTATGACTCCAAGCCCTCATTTATGGCTTTCTTGATTTGTGAAGAGCAGGCTAATATGGTCATCAGCATTGCTTCTTCCAGACATCTCTCTCTACTGTTTAATCAACCCAGAGAGCCCTGGCGATAAGTTATTTGTTTTCTGTGCATAAAGAACTAGACTTAAAACAGAAGAAAAGCTGTGCTGAAAGTCTAGCATCCTATTCTAACAGTGGCCATCCAGGGGCTTCCAAGAAGCTGACAGAATATGAAAACAACAGTCTTTCCCCACTGAATCTCACACACGATTACTCATACTGGCTGTGAACCCAGAGGTTCTACAGTCATCTTGCCTAATAGCCTGTCTTCCATGAATCCCCTTTCTGCATCACATATCCTACCAGGCTTTAATTAAGTACTGTGGGAAGGAAATCCATGTTAGCCATGCATCCGAATTATCCAACTCTGTTGCATGACCTGGATATATATCTTGAATCTTGACGAGGATGGGAATAAAAAGGTCATGATTATAGCAGGGTTTGGGGCCCAAGAGGACAATAAGCTTGCTTAAAAATACACAGAGAGCTGTTTAAGGCAATGGTTTGATGAGTTCAAAACTTAGAATTCACAGAAATCTGTACTCGAAGCAAAATGTAAACATTACACCATAATGAACAAATTATTCAGGAAGAATTTTTCCTCTGACTCCAACGAGGAAACAATTGCGCATTTGATGATTTCGGCAAAGGAAAGGTCTGGGATTGGAAGGACCAGTTTTTAAGTACTTTGGCAAGTCTAAAGTATTACACCTTGTTTAAATAGGCTTCATTAAGGAATGCTGATTGCCCTCAAATGTAAACATGCACACCAGTAGGGCCTAGGTACACCAGTTCCACAATGCTGACGGAAAAAAAATCTGGTAAGTCAATAGCTACTGGATACTGAAGATCAAATTCAGCTCAGTGTTATGAGAACATTGTAAATGAGGACCGTAAAAGCAAAAAAGCAAAAATGAAAAACTGGAACCTTCTTAATACCTTGCATGTCCATCAGGAGAAAAGAGAAACTTGAGGAGTAGGTGGAACTGCACATTCCAGTAAAGGGCTTGTCTCAGGAATGTGCTGTTTCAAGTCCTCCTCCCAGAGCTTTACATACTATGTAGAGGAAGTGACTCAAGCCCCTCTCCCCACAAACTAAACCTTCCTTTGATCGAAGTGGCAGCTTCAGCATCACTGAAGTGTCTTACTTAAAAAGCTGTTTCTAAACATTCAGTCGTATGTGAAACAAAAGGACAAATACTAGCATTCAAAATTTAAACTACTGTACTGAAATTATGGCAAATGCGATGGAATGATAGGAAAGCGCATCCTTCTGTAGCCATCTTGAATCTGCAACCTGTATAAAGTTGAAAAGTTATGTCTTCTAAAGTAAGATAGACTGCACTCTAAACAATCATTATCTAATTCTGTTAAGTATCACTGTGAACAAAAGGCTGACTTCACACTTTACACAGCATAACCACTTAATTACATATCCCAGGAGGCTCTGGTTAACTATGATAATAAGATTTCAGCTTACTATCTGGCTCACTGCCACCTCCTTCTACTTAGTCAGTGCAGTGTACTGGGTGAGAATGTTGGACTAGGACTTGAGACACCAAGGTTCATATCCCCACTCAGCAATGAAACTCACTAGGTGACCTTGGGTGAGAATATCTCACTATTCTGATTCAGGGCATTGGATACTTATTTAAGCAGTCTTAACACAGCAGGGTTTACCCTTAAGAACATGAGAAGTGTTTTTAACATTCCATATGCAGAGAAGGTGATACCTGGCCACCCTTCCTGATGTTATTCTAAAAGTGAATTGGAAACGAGATTTCCTTACAGCTTTGGCTGCTGACCTTTCAAAGAGACTCTGTAATGAATTTAACACTGGAGACTATGACTAGCATGAAATAAGTTGTGGTAACCAATGGATACTTTCACACTTAGAAACAAAGATATCCTATATTAGCATATGGCATAAGGCTCATTTGAGAGCAGTGGTTTGTAGTTATTAAAGACCTTTGCAAGCTGATTTCTGATTTTTGGAAGAAGGAGGCAAGGCAGCAGGTTTTGAGTAGCATCATTTTATCCCTGGGTTGGGAGAAGGAAATAATTGGTTATAATGATAACAATAAA